GAAAGGAAAAATTGAAATCGCATCATATGACCCCTTTAAAGGTAGACCTCCTTGATTTACATGTTAAGGGATGTGTAGAGGGAAATCACAACTGGGTCGATTACAAAATTCTGGTGTTTCAGAAGGGTAGAAAGCCTAATTCTGGACATTTTAATTTTCTGTTTCTTGATCCCTTTAATGTGTACTTTTTAAATAGAGCTCAATCAAGATGAGGGTTCAGTTACATACCTGTCTCACAGTGGACTCCTGAAAAGCCTGATTTACAAATGCAGTCAAAGCCCCCCACACTATCTGAACACATGGCTCCATTTTTGCATGGCTGCTCAGCACACTGGTCACCATCTAGCATGTAAAACAACATCAGAGATGATGCATGTCACACACTTAAAACATTATACGTCTATAAATGTATCAAATCAGAATACACCGTATCTTGAGCATTAGTACATGATTCTCTGGAAGGCTTGATTATGATTGGTCAATCGTAGCAATCCCATGTACAATACTGTTTTATGATGATTGCTATATAACTATATAATCAACTGCTTTCCCATGAAATCCAACATACTTCTTAACTGTTGTTAGTTTCATCTAATAACCAGCTGACCTGGACATGGAATAGGTCCAATGTATTATATATATTTCTTTAGTTTCTTTAATCAATTTGATTGCATCAGGGCAACAAGTGGAACAACTGATTCCACTTGTCTATATTCATCTCATTGAGGTACCTGAAATGCAGGGTTTCCCAACTCCAGTCCATTCAACACACTAAACAGCTGTTGAGTTGAACCAGGTGCTTTAATTAGTCTAACACATCTAACTAGGTAGGTGGGTCTCCAGGACTGGAGACATCTGGAAAAACAGATGACACCTGACTTTCTCACATGACCATCATGCATATGCAACATTCACAACTTACCAATGTAGACAGACCAGAAGATGTCCTTTAAAAGAAACAAAAACACAGTCCATTTAAGTCTGTACATAATTACGAGTGCAACTGTGAATATTAGTAGTAATATTAAACATGTAGACTAGAAGTGTGCGATATTCACACAAATGTCTTCTCAATTTTTTTTGATAACGATAATAATAAAATATACTGAGCGTGTGTTTTGTGCTGGTATCTTGGATGGCTTAGGCTTAGGATTTTGTTTAGGTAGATCTTCATATTCTGTGCAGTGGTTAGTTCTCAGCCGTGACAGAAATGAACTTTTCCACTACAAGGCAATATTTGCATCCTTAAACTGAATTTATTTTAAAAACGCAAAATTATACTTTTTTTTTTAAAGCTATATTTATGATCTTTTCATGCCTTTATTGTGAGAGCACAGTAGAGAGCTGACAGGAATGCACTGGGAGGAGAGGAGGGAGCAGGATCGGCAAAGGACCTCGAGGCGAGGCGCTATATGTCGACACACTAACGACAAGGTTAGGGGCGCCGACGTGAAATTATACTTTATAAGAAAACTGGTCAGTGTCTTAATGAGCCGAGTCATTGTGTCTTCACAAAACGGATATAAATCCGGTCTTCAATTCCCATGCTATATGCAAATTTAACAGAGTACACATTAACGAAAGCAACAGATAAGTGCTGCATTTTATTCATTATCAGCTAATTTCAAGATCAAATACCGCAACAGGAGAGAGTGCGACATCAGCACTGGAAAGATAGATTAGTTTCACTACCTTTAATGAAGATGATTGTGTGTTGAGTGTCTGTGGCTTACTTTCAGTTTCCTTTGTGGCAGTTTGCGTGTCGGCTTGCTGAAGAGATACTCGGCTACTCATCCGCGGCGATACGTTACATGTCGCATTAGCGCAGTCATATCTGACTATAACATGCCATATAGCCTATAAAATGCTCTCGCACGTTTATTATTTTAATATTTTGGGAGGAGTAAAATTTGCATATGTGGTTTCAACAACCAGATGCATTCACACTTGTCCAGTTTCATCCAGACCACCTCCTGAAGTGGTTTGAGCGATCAGATTTAAATGTGTTTCGGAGGGCATTTATACCTGGTCTTTTCACGATCGGATAGCTATCCGATCAGAAAAAAAACGCAAATAGTGACCAGGTGTAAACAGGCCACTTCTGCTGTGGTCAACAACATTTTTGGTTGGCAAAATGTTAACAGAATTGCGTCTCAAAATGGAACTCAAATTGTTAACTTACTGTTTATTTATATAAAATCAAAGACATTTGCACTATCAAGGTGTTTTTGCTTGCTTTGTGCAAAGTAAATGACATAATCAATAATGTCAGCTTGCACGTCGTTGCACAACCAATAATTACAATTTCATCACAAACGATAAATATCACACACCCCTAGTTTAGACAGGTGAATTCAGGTTAAGATTCAGACTCACTGTGCGATAATTATCCTGGAAGACTTCTCTTGCTTCTTCGTAATCACAAACTTCCTCTAAACACTCCCTCTCGAGGTTGGCAGGGAGTTTAGTCTCTTCATCACCCGCGTTGCTTCTCTTCTGGCGGGAAATTAAACTAAGTGCATCCCACTTTTCCAGGAACACGGGAGCTGAGGTGTGTAGGGACACAGAAAAATTGTGAAAATGATTTTATACAGTGTGAACGGCAGGTGAGAAATAGATAAAAGTGATATTTCAATTGAAACATTCAAACATGATTTCTGGTTATGGCCACCAGAAAAGACAAGCACATTGGCGAGAATCCACGGCTACTCGCATTTGATGTGGAGGACGGAAAAGCATTTAGATTGTTAAAATTTCAGCTTATAAAGACAGTAAGGCAATTTCACTCATAGTGACGGCTGATAGGTACTGCTTTCAAATGCTGTATGTGTCTGATGCTGCGTTCAAGTCCTCCTGGGACGTTCGTACTTACGAGTTGACAAGTCGTAATTACGACGTCAGGTGCGTTCAAGTCAGTTTAGTCGGCACAAGATGGCGGTGTACCTTCTTTTAATAAATTACAAGAAAATACAACAGGGTCTGCATTTTTTTACTTGGATTTCAGCTGCGTAACAAGAACATGACCAATTTAAGTTTAAAGGACAACTAAACTATCAATTTAAATTAAAATTTACCGTCAACTAGACGTTGCATCCATCGATTCCGCCATGTTTCTCATTGACACGCCCCCAACTCGGAATCTCGGGGCTTAAAGAAAATTTCGAGTTTCCCACTCGTAATAACAACTTAATAACATTCATGTGCGTTCAACTCGTAAATACGATCTATCCGACATGACTTGAACGCACCACGAGTGCTCTGTAAAGAGCACCAAAGGTTTCTGTTTACATCGTGTTCAACAGCTTTGAGCACTGTAGCCAATCACAGAGTGAGCGCTGAACACAATGACCAATCAGAGGCGTTTAAGATAGTTAGTAGTGCATCCACTCAAAAAGAGCTCACTGTGTTCAATCATTTCGTAACGAATAACAGCCAGTAAACTCAATGTAAAGTGTAGTGCAGTGTAGACATCTTCATAATCCATGACTGACAGCCTCGGTGATTATAAAAGTAGCATTCTTTGCTCACTTTTGTTTGTAATTTAAATACAAGTTACACGTTTCCTTCTGCTAACAACACACTGCAATGCTTCTGGACTGACAACTGTAATTGAATAAAGGTTTTTCCGCGAGTCCCTCAAATCATTGTCCACTTTGTTATTGTGACTACTTGCGCTTTAAATTAAAATCTGGCTCAATTAAATAACAATTAAATCACAAAGCTGACATCACTTCCTTGGAGGATGAATGAGATCCTCTGTTATTTCAACCGTCTCTTATTTATTTTTGTATTTTTACAACCTGAAAAGGTCAACCTCAATATGTACATTCTGCTCTGGGATATATGAAAAGTCAATAGAAAGTAATATATTTTAAATTAAATGTTAAATTCTTTATTCGATGGATGTTTTATTTTAATCCCCCCCCCAAAAAAATCAGGCCTTAACAGTTAACCTGTATTACTTGTGTTTTGTAAACCAATCACATTATAGCCTTGATGTCACCGAATCACTTTCTTAGTTTTACGACAATGAGTCACTGGCTGTGTCCGAAATCGCCCCCTATACCCTTAAATAGGGCACTATTTGAGGGAACAGCCATTTTTAGTGGTGTCCGAAACCATAGTGGACGTTCTCGAGTGCACTCATTCAATCCCACAATGCACTGCAAAAACGAGTGTACAACTGGTGCACGCTCAACGGCTAGAGAATGCCCATAATGCACCGTGAGAGTCACGCGCCGAATGAATTCCCGCGTCTCGCCAGAAGATGGCGCCCGCAGCTGAATAATCAATCCAAAGCGCTCATCCATGGCGTACAAGCATAATGTACAACACAGGTATAAATTCATTGTGAATTGATTATTCAATTGTTTGATTGCATAATTTCCGTGACGAGAGTTCAAGATACATCCTTTAATCTTACTACCGGAGCTGCTAGTTTGCTAGTTTCAAATGATTAATAAACAGCAAGCACAAACTATGCAAAAGCGGCGGTCCTTCCGGTGCACTCAGTGTCCACTCGTTTTCATTCACTCCTTCTAGTGAACTGAATTAGTGACCTAATGTAGGGAACAGTGAATGAGGGTGTAGTACAAGTACAAGTACATAAATTAAACATTACCGTAAACTGATTACTACCCGTCCCAAAATTATCTGTGGCTAAATAAACGTTTCTTTTTCTAATTCTGAGGCTCTCAAGAGGGATCTGCCCTGAATTTGGCAACGTTACAAATAAAATGGCGCAGTACACTTAAATGACGCCGCAAATCACTGTCAAAATAGCACACGGTCTCACTATGATAATGTATCAGTCGGGCAGAATTATATGAGACAATATTTCAGAGCAAATATAATATGTACACATGTATATTTTAGCAATATGCCAACAGTAGCCAAATCCAGCGGGATAAAGGCGGACTTGGCAACCCTAGCATGGGTTTGATCACGTGGTGCCTGTTACTTTTCTCACCGCTTGTCTTGACGATGCGCATTTTATTTAAGCATTTTATAAGAGCTCTAGGAGATTTTCATTGGTATGTCTGGCTCTACGCTTAATTAATATGCATGGTTATACGCAAAAGTCGGCCGCTGGAGAAACGAAGACGAAGGTTTATCAACCACAAACAAGAAGAAAAAACAGACTCAAAAAGATTTAAATGCCGAAAAATGCATTACCTGTTCTTTTGGGCAACCCAGCGGCCACAAAGCCAAACAAAACCGCGAGAGAAAACAATCCTCCGAGGCAAGCCATGATGAAGGTCGACGCCTCTGCCTGAGAAATACAGGATCATTTAACTGTTATTAAACCCACGCCTGTCCCAAATGTTCAGTTTCCAGAATCAGCATCGCAATAATAAGCAGCGGTGGGGTTTAGCCTTAGAATGCAATGCAGGTTCTCTATTGCTTGTTTATTATAAGCGATTGCATAACGGAGCCTCACCCGCTTAATAGCTTCTGGCGCAGATCTGAGCTCTTCACTGAGGAACCGATAATATCTGATATTAACTTGCGCTATAATCTGCTGTCACATCTACTGAGGTGAACTAGTCTGTGTCGGACTGATATCTTAACACCTATCGTTGTTGTTTTGTTCAAGCGCGAGCCGTCCTGCGTCTGTGTGTATAACCACACGAGGGAGCACACTATATGGAGTCAAAACAATGCCACATATATGTGCAAAATAATAAAGTTTTGCAAACGAAAATAAAGTGTTGCAAACGAAAATAAAATTTTGCAAACGAAAATAAAAGTATTGAGAAAAAATAAATGTGTTTTTGCAAACAAAAATAAAGAATTGCAGAATATAAACGAAACGGCACAAAAGCAATGATTTTGCAATACATATTTTCCATGGCCATTTTGTTTGTAAAACTTTATTTTCTTTTGCAGAACTTTTATTTTCTTTTGCAAAACTTTTATTTTCGTTTGCAAAACTTTATTTTC